GAATTCTAAGGCAACGCAAATATTAAGGTTAAGAGGCTGAGCTCGTAGATGATGATAAAATAACATAGTTATGTATAATATATTACATTTCTGACTGTATATCCCTGTAATTATTACACACTGTAGCTTTAAGAGTTCTTAGATGAAATTTGTATGACTTGGGGCTGAACAATTTTAGTTAATAAACTCTTATATTTTGAATTGAAGTGGTGGTGAATTTATTCCATATATGTGCAGTTATCCGTTTGACCATGATCTGAGCTCCTTTCACACCTCATTTGTTGTTCTAACCACTGATCTCTATTTATACACTGGATTGCTGATTGCCCGTTGGAAGTATGGGGTAAAGTGAAGCCATCTGCCGCCATATTGGTACTCCCTAGTTAGACCCGTCGCGATGTATACAATATGTGCGCTACAACATTAAACTATGATGATGTTTTAATTTTCAGGAGGGCTCAAAACTTTTAAAATAAAGATAAATGAATCACTTTGACACACACTTGCTGTTTCATAGCATAAGTAGATTACTGTAACTTATGATAAAAAAAAAAAAAAAAAAAAAAAAATGGGACATCACATTACATAGTCATTATGAAGTCAATGAAGTCTATAAATCATGAAATATGACATATTATACAAATCCACCAGAACAAAATGTAAGTGTTAACAGAGCATAATAATACTGATTGCCAAAAGTGCTTAATTGATGATATACATGTAATGTACAATATGACATTGTTGTGGTAATTACATATTATATATATTTCAAGATTTACATCAAGACTAAATTACAAGTACATGCCTGTTAATGCCATAGTATTCTATTTTTTAAATTGTGCATGCCAGATGCCATATACTTTTATGCTGTGTCTGTGCATTACCCTTTAAAAAATTTTTTGTTGCTTTTTTTCCATCAATATAACATGCAATATATTTCAGTACGACTTTTTCAAATGAGAAATACAACAAACACTACAAAAATGACGGTGTCATCCACTTAAGAATTACTACATTGACATTTCCCAGTGAATTACTTTCCATTTACTATACTTTCCATTTTCTATCTTTAGACACAATGTCGATGGCTAACTCAGTCAATATCTTCGAGTCAGTCCGAGATAGCCAAACTAATGTTACACTACATAGTATACTTTGGGATACATCGGCGTATATATGGATTTTCTTGGTTAGCAAATCCACTGACTATGAAATTACCTGTGAAACGTTTTTCCACAGACGGCTTGTTTTTGCAAAATGCCAAATAGTACACACGTAGGCATGTTTATGGCGCGTCTCAGTGGGGAGTACCGATATAGCAGCCGGTGGCTTCACTTTTTCCAGGCTGTCAGCAATCCAGCGAATAAGTAGAGATCAGTGGTTCTAACACAGCCAGTAGGACATGCGTTTACAAACAATATATGACAGCCCAAATATTATCAGATTAAATAACATATTTACCACCTATAGTATAGGGGTAGGCAATAAATATAAAAAAAAGAAAGTAAATCTTAAAGTTGCACGACCAGATCAAGAAACATAAATGGCAAATTAAAATTCTGCTACATGCTTTTGGTCCTTCAGATTTTATTGTGTTAAAAAAAAGGCTGCTGATGCAAACAAAAGGTTATTCACTGATAATATGCATCCTTTAGAGAAACAACTGAAAGTGGAACTGTAAAAAAAAGAGCAAACCGACAAATATGAACCCGCAGAAGAGCAGCCAGACAGGAATGGGTCCTAAGGAATACAGGGAGAAAAAATTAATTACAAAAATTTGAGGTTCAGAGATACAGTATGTGTAAAGGCAAATGCCAAACTTACTTCCTTTGGTAACAGCATGTATTTGACAACGACTATCCACAGCTACACTTAGCATTGCTGTTTTGTTACTGCCTTTGATACTTTGGCCTTTCAGGAAGTCAGGCAAAAATGCTAGATCGGTCACAACAATGCCATGTGACTCATTGACATAGTACAGCTTCTGCAAAAAAAAAAAAAAAAATAAATCAATTACATAAAGGTAAACTTTTGAACATCTATTTTTTTTTTATTCAGGCTAGCATTATGCTTGTGTTACCTGTAGAGAGAAAGCAATATAAATTGCTACCGATCCCGTAACTGTGCCAAGGCCAAGAAACTTTCCAGAGTCACTGTTAAAGATAATTTCAATGTTAATTCTTCCATCTGGTATCCTTAAAGCATTTTTTTTTAAGCAAAGTTCTATTAAAAATGAGGGAAAAAGAATAAAACTTTAAAAAGTTTCTTATATTGTGAAAAAAACTGGTGAGTTGTTTTAATGCATAATGCATTACTCAAATAAAGGAAACCATGCAACAACTAAATTCCACAGTATGTATTAAGTGAAGTCTCAGTTGCTGTTTGAATATCAACCCAGGTTCAGAAAAGTAATTAAGATGGCCTTAAGTACATAAGATGGCCTTGGTGATATCAGGTAGGTATAATCCAACTGTAGTGTTTACCAGTTTTTAATGCTGCATGCACCGGCATGTAGGCGGGGGACAAAGGCAACTTTTGAGTTGTCCAGATGTGAGACGACTCAGCTAAATTAAGAAAGACAACTTATTCCCTACTGAAGTGATGGAGTCAAAGCCACCTCTTCAGAGATCAAAACCAATGCCAGAATATTGCCAAATATTTTCGGACTTTATTTCTTGTAAACCACAAAATGCTGAAATGGAAACAATGGTTAATTAATCTACCAAAATTCTGTATTAATCTAGTAATTGTCATAGCTATTAAGTTAATAGATCTAGCCACACTTAGAACTAGATTTTCTAAACTTAATTTACATAGCGTGATGGTTATACGATGACCTAGAAAACAGCAAAAGTAATACATTTTTGTCATATAAAGAAAAAAAAATGTATGGAGGGGGTATTGGAGCTGGGATAAGGAATTGAGGGTTTGGAAGTGGTCATATTCACAGTGGGTTCACACTGGGTCGCGGTGTGCCCCTGGTCCTTGGTCTCTTTCTCCCTTAGTGCAGGGTGGAGAACAGGGAGCCTATTGGGGCCAGTAGGGGAGCTGGCTCCCTGGAAGAACCCTGTTCACTAGTTCTTAGCTCCTCATCTCCGATGCTTGCCCTCAACTACTGTATCACACTACAGTAAAGTTAGGATCTTGGGGAGGAGGTAATCACCAGGGTGGGTTTTCCCAATGCTGGTGGTGGTCTATGCCCCAATTTTTAGAAACATCAAAAGGGCTGGTTATACTCCCCAAAGCAGGGTGTCGCAGATACTTTTTGATTTATGCCCAATAATTGAAGTGTGGTCTGCGCTATGTTATTCCACGCCACAAAGCAAGATAGACAATCACGAACTAGCTGGGGGTCTAGATACTGCCGAGGCGGTGAGGAAGTGGGGGCAAGTTTGTGCGACAACAGAGGGACATGAGGGCGAAGAAGAGCGGGGATCCAGGTGGAAAAAGGGTCCCAGCGTCCCACTTTGGGGTTTGGCCCCTCAGGGGTCGAGCTCTGAGTGCTCTCATTGTCATGATCCTGGCACTGGTGGCTGGCCTGATTGCTCATTCCACTCACCTGTGTAACTCTGTCTGTTTTTCTCATTACTGCTTATCTGATCCACCTGTTTTCAGCTCCTATATATGCTGTGTGTTTTCCAGCTACCAGTGCCAGAATATTCAAGCTGTTTTGTGTGAGTAAC